GTGTAAGCTTAACACTAATCACCTGACTGATCGACGGAGAAGACATTGTGTTGTTTGGGATTGACATGTCTAACAGCAGAGGCTATGGATCTCGTGGATCTTATTTCGGCTCTGATACCATATCAAGTTTATGCAAAACTGTGCCTCACACTATTGAGGACATATTCTATTTATATTGGCAAAAGATTAACTAATAGATCCGATTTCATAGGAAACTAACGAAGTAAGCCTATTCTTATGGCATGACTAACTTCAAGCTATTCTAATGGATTGACCAATTCTAACAATTTGATCTTGTTTTATGAAAGGAGTGGACCTCACTCGAAGAAAAAAACCCTTGAGAAATAAATTTAAAAAATGTTATATTATTTGTTTTTTTTTGTAAAAAATATGTTTCTAATAGTAAAAAACGCTCAAATATCATTCCGTTATAATTTATGTAACTACATCTCTGGTTTGACCAGACGAATTGGGTAAGTTAAAGTTCTTACTTCGATATGAATGTTAAACATTTTTTTTAACGAGGTATAAAATCAAATATGAGGAAAAAAAAATTAAAATTAAAAGTGTTTGCGTGACAAGTTAAATTAAATGTAGAAAAATGTTGGGATCATCACATGTCCTGTCCAGAAGACCCTAATTGAGGCACTTAGATCATTAGATCAACGAAACGGTAAGGAACACTTAAATTGGATGAATTTGACTAAAACGAGAAAACAACTTTTATGAACGAGTTAAGGACTCTCATCTCAAACAGGAAAATAAGTACCCGAAAATGAAAGTATTTAAGTTTTGTATTTTAACTAAACATATGAGTCAAATTCATCAAATTTGAGCGTTCACAGATTTCAAATTCCTAGCTCGAACCCTAAGCTTGAGACATTATAGTTTGGTATCATAAAATTGATAGTTGAATATCAGTTGATTTAGACGAAGAACGTGACGATCAATCAGTATCATTATTTTTTTTTAATCTTATAAAGGTGGGCGAGGTGGAATATCGTATGTAATTATTGAATAAAGATTAAGCTAATAAATTAGTAATTAGTGAATTAGATGCAACTTTTTGTTACGCTTTGAATATGCAGCAATATTCATGCCTTGATGTGACCAACCTTTATCTGTACCTAACAATTGCATGTGGGCTAATTGATTGTTTAACCCAAATAATTAAATAAATAAATATTGTTAATTAAACTCTTTCATATAAAGTGATCTCATCTGGAAACTTTATCTTATTTTAAGAAATTCCCACATGTAAGCTAGTTTTATATATATATATATATATCATGCAGTGTTGTAGCTAACGTGTTAAGTATCCCGTTTGGGGAGTATGCTCGCACGAATGAAACTCAAATGAATTGATGTGGGCTCGTACAATCGTGGACCTTTTCTTTGTCGTTGAGGCTCGAAATCTTCCTCGCTCGAACTGTATTATGGAAGAAGTGGTTTACTTGAAAGAAAGGGCGTTCGAATAGGCCTTGAAAGGAGAAGGAAGACTGAAATGTCGATAGGCGCTTATTATTGAATTCAGCAAAAGCATTTATAGGTGTTTTTTTGAAATGCATGAATTAAATTAACATAAATATAAAAGTTGATAGATTAAACTTATAATTCGGGTGGATTGTGATGTCCCACATTGGTTGGGAGGAGAACAAAACACTATTTATAAGGGTGTGGAAATCTTCCCTTAACAGACACGTTTTAAAGCCTTGAGGGGAAGGCCTAAAGAGGACAATATCTGCTAGCGGTAGATTTGGGTCGTTACAAATGGTATCAGAGCTAGATATCGGACGATATGCCAGCTTTCTCGCTGTTTCTCGAAGGGGGTAGACACGAGGCAGTGTGCTAGTAAGGACGCTGGTTCCCGAAGGGGGGTGGATTTGGGGGCGGTACCCACATCGATTGGAGAAAGGAAAGAGTGTTAGCGTTCGGGGGTGGATTTGGGGGCGGTACCCATATCGATTGGAGAAAGGAAAGAGTGTCAGCGTTCGGGAATGGATTTGGTGGCGGTCCCCACATGAGAAAGGAAAGAGTGCTGAATACTAAAAGGGTGGATTGTGATGGTCCCACGGAAATTTTTTTGTAAAATTTTTAAAATTACTGAGGGCGGTTAAAAAGTAAATATTCCGAACAAGATTGTGAATTAATTCATCTGACATTGAAATCTTTACCTAAAATGGATCAAGAACCAGAAATAATGGTAAAGTTAGGTGAAAATATTTGGTGTAATTAAGGTAGAGGTTGAAGACAAAATTTCAAACAAACTTTATAATAAAAGTTTGTGGTCCAAAAAAACATGAACTCGAGTTGGTTTCTTCCATTTTAATTTTCATTTATATTGGCTCAAGATCCCATGATGATGCATTTTTTTTTAATATAATATAATTTCGAACCAAATATTAAAATTCTTTTTAATTTTTTTAGCAACGTCGGAGCTGGTGTGACATAAGGTTAATATAACCGTGGGGCTGACGACGATATGTAATAGTGGACTTGAGCTGTTATAAATGATATTAGAGCCTGACACTAGGCGGTGTACGAGCGAGGACGTTGGAAATCTCTCTCTAGTAGACATGTTTTAAAATCGTGAGACTGATGCAACGATATATAATGGGCTAAAGCGAACAATATCTAGTAGCGGTGGAGAATGAAACATTCGTTTAAGGGTGTCGAGACCTATTCCTAGTGAACCCGTTTTAAAATCGTGAGGCTGATGGCGATACGTAATAGACTAAAGCGGACAAATAATGAGATAAGAAATTGTAATTTGTGTCCAAACGAGTTTATCTCCCAAAGCATATCTCTTTTGAAACTCCGACTTGCAATTTTTTTCTAAACCTTAGTTACGGAACCCGTGACCCAAATGGCTAATTAGCTTCTAGTTGCTCGGGTTTCTTAGCTCAACGACCTCCGACAAACAATAATGCGATTTCTTATTCCTATTTCTCTCTTGGCCTCACTTTATCAAACTCAATTACTCAACCCCAAGTCACTTTTTTGAGCCCTAGGGCCTTCTTGATCACGAATGATGGCAAACGTGGGAACCAGAGTAGAGCAGCAACTAGCTGGTTAAAGGATCCAAATCCAAAGACAGCGATGCCGAACTCTCCGCATTGGGCGCCAAATGATCGGACATCATCATGCCAAATAGTTCGATTCTTCCCATGTTGATTTGATGTAGACTTAAAGCTCTTTCCCCTGCGCCATGGCTTTGCCGATCAACTGTTCGACGAAATGCCTGACTGAAAATAAGGTTGCTTTTTCCTTCATTTTGGCTGCCTTTTCATAAGTTAAACATGTCCTATTGGTATCTAGAATTTAATTGGATGAATATTTCAATTCATGAATGAAATTATGCAACAGCGACCGTAAATTTATGTGTATTGAATAAATTCGATATGTATAGGTGTTGCTATCAGTCGAATTTAACGAGCCACAAGTCATAATCATTTAGATGTGTGACAAGTTGAGCTCGATTGATTTATAGAAAAATATGTAATTTTTCAAAACTAGTTGAGTTAATTTCAATCGCATCGGGCGCCCCACTATTCTTTATGATATTTGGTCGAACTCAATAATTTTTTTTTCTTTGAGTGTATAAATGAGTAAAAATCGAAAAAAACCCATTAAAACTAGAAGATTTGATAGGCATGGCAATAATTCAAAAGGGTCTTTTATTGTATAGCGTTGTGCAAGATGCAAATGGTACCATTTGCATAGACAATGACACACCATTCCCCATTAGGGCAAAGAATTAAATGCTTGGCTAGCCTTTGGTTGCTCTCACTTTTTTGCTTCTCCCCCACACCTTGTGTGCGCCCTTTGCATTTGAGCCCACCACGATCACCATTCACGGGCTATTTACTTCTCTTCTAGATAGATGACAGCTTATGTAGTGGTTGACTTTCCTACCGGGATGCCTCCTTGGTCGAAGAGCCCTTTTACTAGTACTAGTAAAGATATAGGAAGCAAAAAAATTGTGCTAGGGACGTTCTCTTCTCTGCCTTCTCCTCTCAAAAGACCAAGGGAGAGATTGCATCTCTTTTATTCGGTAGCTCTTTAAGTTTCATAAGGATAGTGATAGCTAAGGACGTTTCCGTGGCTTTGTTTGTAAGCAAAACATGACCCGAAGTTAAATTGGGAATTTTGATATGGAAACTTTAAAAATAAATTAAAAAAAAACCCTTAGAATTATTATTATTATCATCATTTTGAAATAAAATGACATATTGGAAGGATCATAAATTCAATGATTTGGAATAGTTTTGTATTGATGAGGAATGGTCCCCTTTGGCTGTTCTTTATATCTACATTGTCTTTTCCTTCCTTCTATACCCTTTATTCCCCCTTCTTCCCTTTTCTTATTTCTTTTCTTTTCCAATAATGCCCCAAGGTTAAATTGGTAATTTACGCCTCAAACTTTAAAATTTTCGTTTATCTAATCCTTAAAATTTTAAAATTACAATTCACATAAAACTAAAGTTTAAGGTTCAATTAGACATGATCGATCAATTCTTTTTAAAAAAATTAAAATGTTTTCGGAACTTTTGAGGTACAAAATGACAAGATGTTCACTTGAGGAGCTTGTGTCGGACGGTCAATGATTTTTGCTCATACCGTTGACCGATCAATATATTGTGATTTGAGAAGATTTAATCAAAAAAATTATAAGAATCTATCCGATTTTTGGAAAATCTAATGATTTGATCTAGACATAACGGTTACTGAATCTATGCTTTAACTTGTTTTTGTAAATATAATTTAAAAATAAATAAAAGTGCATACAAAATATTTATATAAGGCCAAAAAATAAATATTAAATATTCCTGACTACAAATTATATAACCAATAAAAAAAAATGAAAATTTAAAAATCCTAAATTCTACGGTAACGGAAATGAAAGAAAAATGATGTAAAATAACGGCAATTTAATTTCCCAATAATAATAATAATAATAAGAGTTATTTTACATGAATGGCATTTTCGAAATTTTGTGGTCTATGAGGGTCAGAAAATTATCTCTGGAACGAAACACACCAAATTTCCTCTCTTTTCTCGCCCAGTGTCCGGCTGTAGTCTAGTTGAGAACTTTTGTAGCTATGGAAGAACCTCCTTTGGAGTTTGGACCGAAGAATATTTTGATTTAAACCCTAAACTGTACCCATTTGATTATAATTGAAAATCCACAAAAAGAAAAAGTTGGAAAAAGTAGAGGAAAAAAAGGGGGAAAAGGAATTGTATTATAACCCGGAATTTGGAATGGAATTGTTCTTGTTCTTGTTCTTGATCTTGATCTTCTTCTTCTTCATTGTTACTGTAAATTCCAATCCCCAAATATGAATTATGGAGTTTTAAAATGGGTATTAATGGCGTTCTAAACAGTACTCCCAAGATAATAGCCTTTATTTTTTAGCCCACACCGACGCATAAACAAAAAGCACACTCACTCACTCTCACTCGTACACTTCTTTCTCTCTCTACTTTCACTGGTGGAAGCGGACGACTGACGACAAACTCCGCGCTGGCAAAAGATTCCCTCACCGCCTTCTTCTTTTTTCCTTTTCTTTCTTCTTCTTCTTCTTCTTCTTCTTGTTGAACCCTAATTCGATTTTTTTTTTGAAAAAGTTGTAAGGAAATTTTGATGGGGTTTGAGTTTTTTTGTGTTTTGAGTTGATGGGTATGATTTTCTTCAGCTTTTGGTGAAACCCATTTCAGTAATCGGTGGTTTGATTTGGTTTTATACGAGGGGTGTGTTTGGATGGGCTGTTCGAGCTCTAAGGTCGATGAGCTTCCGGCGGTGGCGCTCTGTCGGGAGCGTTGTGCGTTTCTTGATGAAGCGATTCATCTTAGATACTCACTTGCAGAGGCTCACATGGCGTATATTCAGTCCCTTAAAGGGATTGGTCATTCGTTGCATAATTTCATTGAAGAGAGCGTTGTTGTTGTTGGTGTTTCTTCTGGGTCTCCTCTGTCTCCGAAGCTTAATCTTCCTCCTCATCGGAAGGGTGATCCTGCAATTGAAGAATCTGCTTCTCCTCATCACCATCTCTCTCACTCTAATTCCGGTTCCCACCTCCATTTTCACTCCGATTCCGATGATGAATCCGGTTCCGATCGCTCCCCGCCTTTCGACCTGCAGCACGGTGGCCATATGGGTTATATGCTTCCGGATCAGGGTGGTTTAGGTTCATATCCCGGCGGCGGTGGCGGTGGCGGTGGTGGTGGCGGTGGCGGAGGTGGAGGGTATATGCATATGAATTACATGAGGAAATCGGTGACACCCTCTGTGGTGTACGAGCAGAGGCCTATGAGTCCAGAGAAGGTTTATCATGTCGGTGAATCGTCTTCTTCGTCAGGGCATTACCCTTATCCTTACCCGAACATGCCTTATAACAGTCCTTATGGTTACCCCCAAGACGGTGGTGGGTATTATGGTGGCTCTGTTTTTCCTCCTGCATATGGTTCAATGCCATCTGCCGGAGCTTCAGCTTCATCATCTAAGCCGCCACCGCCGCCGCCTTCACCTCCGAGAGCTTCCGCTTGGGATTTCTTGAACCCATTTGAGACTTATGACAAGTATTACAATGCTTACACGCCGAGCCGGGACTCGAAAGAGGTAAGGGAAGAAGAGGGGATTCCTGATTTGGAAGATGAGGATTACCAACATGAGGTTGTTAAGGAGGTACATGGGAATCAGAAATTTGTCGACGAAGGCGGCGGTGGCGATGGCATTGGAAAGGGTTCGAAGATAGCTGCAGAGGATGAGCGTGGTGGTGGTGATGATCCAACGACCTCACTTTACCAAACGAGGCCGAGTGCTGCAGTTGAGGACGATGCTGTCGAATATGAAGTTCGTATGGTTGATAAGAAGGTTGACAAGGCGGAGAAGTCTGAGGAGCCAGGCAATGGTGGTGCATTCAAGGGCAGGCCTGGCTCACGAGATGCCAATGAGGTTGCCAGAGAAATCGAGGTTCAGTTCAAGAGGGCATCCGAGTCCGGTAACGAAATCGCCAAAATGCTAGAGGCTGGCAAGCTTCCTTATCAGCGCAAACACGGTGAGTATTATAGCTTAGATCCATTAAATACTATGTTTTTGCTTGATCTGGTAGATTTGAAAACTTTAGATGGCTATTGTTTTTCTGTTCATGAACCTAACAATTGGATTTCTGGCAGTGTCGTCGAAAATGCTGCATGTTGTCGCTCCTTCGCTATCAATGGTAGCTTCCCAACCTTCGACGTCGAAGAGTGCCGATCCTTCGTCTTCTGCAGCTGAGTTAAGTTATATTGAAGAGTTCGGGATGGCCTCTGGCAACCTGTCTTCTACCTTGAGGAAGTTATATCTGTGGGAAAAGAAGCTCTACAATGAAGTTAAAGTATGATATACTCTGCCATTTGGGTTCCTTTCAAAGCTTTTGATACATACATTGCATTATTATATATAAGGAACTGCCCAGAAATGTGGACTGTTTAGCTGATTGTCGTTTTCGTAGCTCTAGGATGTTATCTGAATCTCGAGTTTCTGGAAATCCGTTTTGTTGTATCTGTGGTTCTTCAATATATATCAGCGTTTTCGTGTCAGTTTCAGTAGTTTAGATATATTGATGGGGTTTACGATTATGTTCGTCGAGGTTTAAAGTTTGTGCTTTAATGAATTGTGTTCTTAGGTGGAAGAAAAGATGCGGGTAATTCATGAAAGGAAGTGTCGAAAGCTGAAGCGTTTAGACGAGAAGGGGGCTGAAGCTCATAAAGTTGATACCACTCAAGCTTTAGTGAGGAGCTTATCTACGAAAATTCGAATCGCCATTCAGGTGGTCGACAAGATATCCATGACGATCAATAAGATTCGGGATGAAGAATTGTGGCCACAACTGAATGAATTGATTCATGGGTATGTCTAGTTCTTCGGAGCGTTCCATGTCGTCCCAAATTCCTTTCTCATTAGTTCCTTTGCATTTCAGATTAACCAGGATGTGGAGGTGTATGCTCGATTGCCATCGTGCCCAGTTCCAAGCGATCAGTGAATCGAAAAGCTTAGGTCCCATTGGATCGGGTAAAAATAACAGTGAAGCGCATCTCGGAGCAACCAAGGAGCTCGAGCATGAGCTTCTAAACTGGACAATCAGCTTCTCTAGTTGGATCAGTGCGCAAAAAGGGTACGTTAGAGCCTTGAATAACTGGCTTCTGAAGTGTCTTCTGTATGAACCCGAGGAAACGGCAGACGGTATAGCTCCCTTCTCACCTGGAAGAATAGGCGCACCTCTCGTATTCGTGATCTGTAACCAATGGTCACAGGCTTTGGATAGACTCTCCGAGAAGGAAGTAGTTGATTCGATGCGTGTGTTTAGTATGAGCGTGCTTCAAATATGGGAACACGATAAGCTAGAATTGCGACAGAGAATGTTGGAAAACAAAGATTCGGAGAGAAAGGTTCGAAACTTGGACCGAGACGACCAAAAGATACAGAAACAGATTCACGCTTTGGACAAGAAGATGGTGATGGTTTCTAAAGATGAGAAGCGTGTCTCCATTTCTGGAAACGCTGTGTATCAAAGCGAGATGAGCAATAGTAGCTTGCAGTCAAGTCTGCAACGCATTTTCGAGGCCATGGAGAGGTTCACCGCAGACTCCATGAAAGTGTATGAAGAGCTTTTACAACGGAGCGAGGAAGAAAGATTGAATCGTGAGCAGGAAAAAGTCGTATAAGGCTCTCTACTTCATCTGGTTGACGTGTTGTGATATTCGATCGAGCAACCGTTGCTCGATGATAGAATGGTAGCGGGAAAGCTACCATTGGTGCTAACAACCGATCCAAAGCTGCTAACTAGCTAGCACACTCGCACCAGACAGATTCCTGTCGTTTTTTCTCGAGAGACTCGAATTCTCGGGTTGATGTTCGAGGAGCAGAAGATGAAGATGATACATATGTATTATTATTATTTTTTTTTTATCAGAACTTTTTTGTGTTCTTTAATCTTTGGGTTATTTTTCTGTGTATTCAATTATTGTACATAAGAAAAACCATTTTTGATAGCAGCAGAGTTCTATGGAGAAGCCTTGTTATTAACTATGATTGGCTCAATTTTGTAAAAGTAGATATAGAGAGAGTATCTCACAGATACTCTTTTTTCTTCCCCCTTTGTTGGTTTTGATATCTCTAAGCCTCACTAGCTACTCATAAACGGTGCCCTTTTCCAACCAGCAGGTACTTGTTCATCTTTTGTCTATATTCTCATCTGTTCTTAAGCTTTGCAAACTAGCCATGCATCTACTCGGGATAGGGATAGGTTAACACCTTTATAAGAAATGTTTTGTTCTTTTCCAACCGATGTGGGATCTCACGTTACTGGCTACGGTTAGGTTGCGCTTTTTGCATAACAATTTCGTCATTAGTTTTTATGCTTGTTTTCTGTAACAACCCAAATCCACTGTTAACAGATATTCTTCTCTTTGTGCTTTTCTTCGGATTTTTCCTTAAGGTTTGTAAAATATGTTTGGTAGGAAGAGGTTTCTACACCCTTATAAAGAATGACAAGAATGTTTTGCCAGAATGTTAAGTTAACAGATATGTTTACATCCAATAAAGAGTAGTTTTGATGAACGAGAATGTTAAGGTATGTCGTATTGGTTGCAAAAGATGCAAGAACTTAGCTCTGGTCTTTAACTTTTAGCATGAGGGCACTCATTTGACATCAATAGGTGATATTAGATGTATGTAGTTTTGTCGTAAAGAGTAGCTTTTGCATTTTTAGCAGCTTATATGTGGGATTCTACGTTGGTTGGAGAGAGAAACGAAACATTTATTATAAGGGTGTGGAAACTTCTTTCTAGTAGATGCGTTTTAAAATTGTGAGGTTGACTACGATACGTAATGGGCTGAAGTGGACAACATTTGCTAGCAGTTAGCTTGGGCTGTTACAAATGGTATTAGAGCCAAACACTGGGCGGTGTGCTAGTGAGGACGCTGGGCTTCTAAGGAGGTAGATTGTGAGATCCCATATTGGTTGGAGAGGGGAACGAAACATTCCTTATAAGGGTGTGGAAACCTCTACCTAGTAGATGCGTTTTAAAACCATGAGGTTGATTGTGATACGTAATGGCCGAAGCGGACAACATTTGCTAGCAGTTAGCTTGGGCTATTACAATGGTATCAAAGCCAGACACCGAGCGGTGTGCTAGTGAGGACGCTAGGCCTCCAAGGAGGTAGATTGTGAGATCTTGGAGAGGGGAACGAAATATTCCTCATAAGGGTGTGGAAACCTCTCCCTAGTAGACAAGTTTTAAAACCGTGAGGTTGACTGCGATACGTAACGGGCCAAAGCGGATAATATCCACTAGCAGTTAGCTTGAACTGTTACAAATAGTATCAAAACCAGACAACAGGCGGTGTGCCAGGAAGGACACTGGGCCTCCAAGGGAGGTGGATTGTGAGATCCCACATCGGTTGAAGAGAGGAACGAAACATTCCTTATAAGGGTGTGGAAACCTCTCCCTAGTAGACGCGTTTTAAACTCATAAGGTTAACTGTGATACGTAACGGGCCAAAACGAACAATATCTACTAGCGGTTAGCTTGAGCGGTTACAAATGGTGTCATAGCCAGACACCAGGCAATGTGTCAGCAAGGACGTTGGGCCTCCAAGGGAGTAGATTGTGAGATCCCACCGTTGGAGAAGGGAACAAAGCATTCCTTATAAGGGTATAGAAACCTCTCCCTAGTAGACACATTTTAAAACCGTCAGGTTGACCACGATACATAACAGACCAAAGCAGACAATATCTACCCGCGGTTAGCTCGAACTCTTACATTAGCGAGTCATTAAGCAGGTACAGACACAGGCAAGACATTAAAGCTATCATCTTCATAACATTCAATGGCAATCAGATCTCTCTTATCAAGAACACCGCTAGATTCATGAACAAGTTCATTGGTTCTTTGTGTATGCAGAGAAATAAATAAGAAACAGAGAGATATTGCATTCTCTGTAAGCTATATGCATGTTAACAGCTTACAGGCCAGCTTTTAACATGGTGGAAGGAAGACATAGCAGGAACATTGCTGATATGGTGTTTCAAATCCATATTCCAATCATTTAGTTTAGGTTCCTTCTGTCCCCTTGGCCTTAGTTATATAAACTTCCCTCATGCCTGAAAGTGACCATAAACAGAAGAAAAGAAGATGGATTTCTCTGCTATGAACCAAACAAACTCTCATCATCTTCGCTCGAACAGCTTGCCCTCAAAGCCGCACCCGTTCATCGATCAAGTCGACGAGCATTTACACAGATTCAAGGAGGCTTCAGAAGCTACATCTTCTTGTTCTTCATCTGAACTAAGCCATAAACTAAATGGCCTTCAGGAGTTACATGATTGCATTGATAACTTGCTTTTGTTACCTCTCACACAACATGTTCTTGTTGAAGATAGCGACACGAAACCGTTCGACGACTTACTCGAAGGATCTATCAGACTCTTGGATTTGTGTGACATAGCTAAGGAGGCCTTACTGCAGACAAAAGAATGTGTACAAGAACTAGAATCAGTTTTGCGTAGAAGAAAGGGAAGTGAAACATTCATAGCAAGTGAGCTTCAGAAATGCCTAAGTTCTAGGAAGTTGATAAAGAAAACAATCTATAAAGCCTTAAAGACAGTTCAAACCAAAAGTTGTGAGAAAACTCAAGCCACTCCAGCCGTTGTTAGCTCGTTGAAACAGGCCGAGTTCGTCAGTTACAACGTCGTTGAATCCTTGTTGTCTTTCCTAGCAGGACCGAAGTTTCGATCGAATTCGAGCCGTTGGTCTCTTGTTTCCAAGCTTGTGCAATCCAAAAGGGTAGCCTGTGAAGTTGAAGAAACAAGTAGAAACGAAGTGGCATTGGTTGATGCTGCATTACATTCAGTTTGCAGTCAAAAAACAAAGAAACATGATTTCTTAGCTCAAGTTGAGAATTTGCAGAGCTCATTGAAGATGTTTGGATCAAACATTCAAGAACTCGAAGGCGATCTCGAGGCTCTATACCGACGCCTTATTAAAACCAGAGTCTCAATCCTTAATATCTACAACTACTAAGCTGTAGTATCATGGCCAAACCCATGAGTATCCATTTTTGTAGACTGTAAAAAACAAACAGTAAATATACAAACTTTGTTCTAAATTTATGGTTTCGTGCATGTTCTTGGGCTCTAATTTTTCCATTACTTTAACCACTCCAATAACCAGGCCTGATGAACTGACAAGAACAAAATCATCAGCTTTTACCTAGCTAAAGTTCAACTAATGATGGAAGTTTGCCAGCTATTGAGATTCTATTTGTCATAAGCCTCGAGCTATAATGATATTGTCTCTCACCTTCATGACAATTTGATCTAATAATTTGATATAATAATTTTGGATCTTCGCATCTCATTCACGTCAACCAATCCATTATTGATTGATTAAGAAATCAAGTTTTGTTTTTGAGGGGTACCCACCAAAAACAATGCAGAGTATGTAGTTTTAAACACGAATATAATCGTGCAAGTGATTTGATTTCATAAAATATGTTCATGAAATCAAAGTCACGGTCATGTTTGTCTAAGGCGTGTTGTCCATGGCTACATGCCAAATCCCTTGTGTTGTATCATTTTACTGATTTCTTTTACCACTTTCATGATGTATAGCTTCTTTTTGTATTTCTTAAGTGTATGACGTTTCCGCATAATCATGTTTAGGTCTTGTAGATCTGAGATGCCTCAAAGTGTACTATAGGAGAATGAGACTAGTTGTCAATTCTCCCTACTCGGAGTTATATGCTATCTAAGTCATTGTATTGCCTTTCTTGATCTCTTTCGAAACTCTCTTTGCACCGTTTTCAAAAAAACCTTCTTCTCAAACAGAGCCAGAGGCTTGAGGATTCGTTGTTTGGCCGAAGGCGACATGATTTCGAGTTGGCTGACTCATTCGGTGCTGAGAGTGAGTGCCGCACAATAGCTTATAAACGTCTCGAGGGGGTGCGATTGGTTTGTGCATGTGGGCATGTGATGTCCCACGTTGGTTGGGGAGGAGAACAAATCACCCTTTATAAGGGTGTGGAAACCTTCCCCTAGTAGACGCATTTTAAAGCCTTGAGGGGAATCCCGAAAAGGAAAGCACAAAGAGGACAATATCTGCTAGCGGTGGATCTGGGTCATTACAAATGGTATCAGAGCCAGACATCGGACGATGTGCTAGCCTTATCGCTGTTCCCCGAAGGGGGGTAGACACGAAGCGGTGTGCCAATAAGGACGCTGGGCCCCAAAAGGGGAGTGGATTTAGGTGCAGTCCCACATCGATTGGAAGAAGGAAAGAGTGCCAGCGAGGATGCTGGGCCCCGAAGGGGGGTGGATTGTGATGTCCTACATTGGTTGGGGTGGAGAACAAATCACCCTTTTACAAGGGTGTGGAAACCTTCCCATAGCAGACGCGTTTTAAAGCCTTGAGGGGAAGCCCGAAAGGGAAAGCCCAAAGAGGACAATATCTGCTAGCGGTGGATTTGGGTCGTTACAAATGGTATCAGAGCCAGACATCAGACGATGTGCTAGCCTTCTCGCTGTTCCCCGAAAGGGGGTAGACACGAGGCGGTGTGCCAGTAAGGACGCTGGCCCCAAAGAGAGGTAAATTTAGGTGCGGTCCCACATCGATTGGAGGAAGAAAAGAGTGCCAGCGAGGACGCTGGGCCTCAAAAGGTGGTAGATTGTGATGTCCCACATTGTTTGGGGAGGAGAACAAATCACCCTTTATAAGAGTGTGGAAACCTTCCCCTAGTCGACGCATTTTAAAGCCTTAATCTTCCTCTAGCAAACGCATTTTAAAGCCTTGAGGGGAAGCCCGAAAGAGAAAGCTCAAAGAAGCCAATATCTGCTAGCGGTGGATCTGGGTCGTTACACCCTTAACTAATAATTAATAATGTAAAGGAGATGGATCAAACACATGAAAAGTTTTGTCAAGACAACTCGTGGGGCTTCATATTTTATGAATTGACTTAACATTGTAATAGCAGGAAGGTGCATAAGTTATGAGGTAAGTACCTGGTCTGGGAGGCATGGCATGGAA